AAGACTTTATAAATAAGACTCCCAAAGCACAGTCAACCAAAGGAAAAATAAACATATGGGACTGTATGAAACTAAAAAGCTTCTGCATGGCAAAAGAAATACTTAACAGAGTGAAAAGAAAACCTACAGAATGGGAGAAAATATATGCAAACTATGCATCTGACAAAGGGTTAACATTCAGAACATGCAAGTACTCAAACAATTTCACTGTGAGAAAACAAGTAACCTGATTAAAAAATGGGCAAAGGAGGTGAACAGGCTTTTCTCAAAGGAAGATATATGAATTCCCAACAGACACATGAAAAAATGCTCAACATCACTCAGCATCTGGGACATGCAAATCAAAATCACATTGACATATCATCTCACTCCAGTTAGACTGGCTATTATTAAAAAGACAGAGAATTTGAAGAAAGAGGAACCCTCCTACACTGTTGGTGGGACTGTAAAGTGGTGCAGCCATTATGGAAAATAGTATAGAGGTTCCTGAAACAGCTACAGATAGAACTGCCATACAATCCATCAATCCCACTTCTGGTTATATACCCAAAAGAATGGAAATCATCATGTCGAAGGGACATCGACACACTTATGTTTATTGCAGCTCTATTTACAACAGCCAAGAGTTGGAACCGTCCTAAATGTCCATCATCAGATGACTGGATAAGGAAAACGTAGTATATTTATACAGAGGAATACTACTCTGCCATAAAAAAGAATAACGTATTGCCATTCGCAGCAACATGGATGAACTTAGAGAAAATTATGTTAAGTGAAATAAGATGGGTACAGAAAGAGAAATACCACATGTCCTTGTTTATATGTGGGACCTAGTAAAAAATAAGTAAATAAATTAAAAAAATAGAAAGAGAGAAAGATGTAACAATCACAATAATGCACTGAACTTTTGTGAGAAGAAAACAGAACTGAGGTTATTACCGGACGTGGGAAATGGGAAGGGGGAGGAATTGGTAAAGGGCCATGAAGATTGATTACATTGTGTAATGAAGAATGCACTAATTATCCTGATAAGAACATCATATATTGCACACAGGTATTGATATTCAATGCTATACCCCACAGACATGTACAATCAACTATATTTAAAGGTGTCAAATTTCCACATTAATGTTGAGATGCAATTCAATCTCATCGATCCCATTTTGTTTTATTTTTATAATTAAATAAATTTTCTATGAAATTTAATCCGATGAACTATGAAAGGAATAAGCTATTCATATATATATATATAATCGTACATATACATTGTACGATGGCTGAATCAGGCTATTTAACATGTGAATTACCTCACAATATATATCATTTTTGGATGGGATGAGACACTTAAAATCTACTTTCTTAGCAAATTTTAAGTATACAATGTACTGTTATTAATTATAGTCACCATGATGTATAATAAATCTCTTGGACTCTTCCTCCTCTCCAATAGAAATTTTGTGTTCTTGACCTGCATATCTCCAATCCCCCCACTTCCAAGCCTCCTATAACCACCATTTTACTCTCTGTTTCTATGAGTTTGACCTTTTTAGATCCCACATATAAGTGAGATTATGTGGAATTTGTCTTTCTGAGCCTGTGTTATTTTACTTAACATAGCATCCTGTACATATGCCACATTTTCCTTGTTCCCTCTTTCCCCTATAAGAGATCCACAGGGATGAGGGGTCTCTCTTGGCACTGCATGGTGAGAAAGCGAAACTTCTCTTTTTTACCCTTTTCAATGTGTCTTTTCTCATTCTGCACTTCACCAGAATTGTAACTACTCAATTGGGTTCTGGAGCTCTCAATAAGGTGTTTTTGTCCATGGATAGTTGCTAAATCAGAGACTGCGTGTTTTTGTGGGGGAGGATTGGAGGTCTGGGACCTTCTATTTTGCCATCTTATTGACCTAATCTTCACTATTCTGACTTCATTTACTTTGAAGCCAGGGCTCCCTAAAGGCTCTTTCTTCCTCAGTCAAGGCCAGATTATAAATTAGAATGCTCAGAGAATCCACAATGTCCTTTACAACAGTGGCTCTGGGGATTTTCTGTTGAAAGCTCCTCACAGGCAAAGAGCAGTGCCTTTATAAAGTCTGAGCAGATTGAAACAAAACAGACAGGATTCTATCCTAGTGCTCTGTTTGGTGAGTCTTCCCTGTCTCCCAGCTCACAGGTGCATCTTAAGGACACGGTGACGGTCGAAGACACTGTGGGATGGTGGAAGGGAAGAAGAAAATGCAAAAAGCCTGGAGGCAGGAAGACTAAGGATGAACCTTAGAAATGAATAGGATCACAGCTAGGAAGGGACATATAATACCACTAAAAGATTTGGATTTCAGCCTGAATACATCTGGTTTTCATTTTAGAAATATCTGTAGATTGGTATCTAAAGAATGAAGGATAACATAGTATCTTTGGAGTATGGTTCAAAGTGTCTTAAAATAAATTTCTGTTTAAAACTAATGACATTTGGGCTTATTTATATTTATTATTTCTATTTTATACACTAGAAAAAGGAGGTATAGAGACTTCAAAGTATGTGTACAAAATCACACTGCTAACAGATAATGCTTATTTAGTTTCTTTTGACTTTGAGTCAGTAAGTCCTGAAGTTGGGTTTAAACACAATTAAGTCTGACTGCAGAGTTCATGCCTTTAAGCACTGGAAAGTACTGTGCTGTAATCAAAGACATGATAATGGTTAGAACTTGTCCCACTAGGATGGAGACAAATGTACTGATTTTAAAGGAACTACAGAGGTAGAATCAATACAATGTGTGTGTATGTTTGCATGTGGAGAGGAGAGGACGATATTGTTCAGATTTTTGTTTTAGCCAGTTCAGTGAATAGTGAGGAAGTAAAACTGAAATACACAATTTCATTGTTCTGTGTATGTCTTTCAATGATTTCTACTTGATATTCATATCACAGTCAGTCTACTTAACCAACTACTCTACTCAAACACTCTCCCACTATGAAATATAATTACCTGAGTTGAGAGAAATTATTGGAGTTTTTTTTTTTTTTTGCAAACACAGACTACAAGGTACTTTAGAAAGTTCACAGAAAAGTAGAATTAAAAGAAAATGTGAATTTTTCCGAGACCTTTCATATAATACCATTTGTCTCTTTTGCAATAAAACAGATATGTAACTTACATTTTTTTCTTTAAATGATCAGTTTGGCACTTATTAGCTACAGAATTTTTTTTGTTTACTGAGATTCTGTTGCATATGGGTATGCTGAAAAAGGGAAAACATTGCTTCTATGGCTTTCTGAGTCTATTGTTTATGTTCCTGTCCTTCAGAGATATTATTTAGGAATACAGAAAGTCTATTTAATAAAAAAACACGATTAACATATACATTGATAAATCACAAAAATTTTGCTTCTATGATTGAATCCTACTTTCACTCTATGTTGTTATGTCACCCTTTGTTAAAGTCTTCATTATTTTTTTTTCAAGGTCAGAACATTATGAAGAAAAACTCAGTTCTTATGGACATTCCACAGTGTGTCTCCTGCAATTAACTTTTCGTGTTATTAGTTTTGCTGCTTTTGAACTGTTTACATTTTACTCTAGAAGTTCCCTACTTCCCCACCCATATTGTACTGCTCCTTTTATTATCTGTTTATCCTGGACCATCTTCTTTGCTTCCTTCTTATCAGTGTTTAGATAATATTCTGATTATCTTCATGAAACTATAGTCATAATTAGTATTGCTCCTTTGAAATCCTCCAGTGATACATAATGATTAAAAGAGAATTTTTACTATGAAAAAGTTACACATAACAAATGATTGAATGATTTTCAAATACGCCAGTAACAAATGCCCTAAGTACATGGAAGTGTATAAAACATTTAAGGTAACTTTGAAAATTGTAGGTTTTGTTGGCTCCTAATAATTCAATGCTCAGAATACTTTACTCTTCATTTCTAGTCTTTTCTCCAACATATTTTCCATATATCTTAAACACTTAAAATCACGATTGCCCCAGATTTAAAGTAAAGGTAGTGATATATCTTATTCAGACAGATTGAGTTTAAAAGAGATTATGTGTGTGAATGTCTGTTTGAGGGGCAGGAAAGAGCTCTGTATATATGAGAAAAGTAAGGCATTAATGAACTTTTCACTGTTTTCATTCACTTTCCTTTTTAATTCACTATTTTACACTGTACTTTCTTTTCCTAGCCCTGTAAGCATTTTAAGCATTCAATGAGTCTTTTAAACTATTTGAGACCCAGTGCCCTTTAAAATAGGGTTAAATATGCTCTCCTATGAGTGTTTTTAAAGATTATATGTGATATTTGCACAGGTTCTGACATAACATTTCAAGGAGTAGGCTGAACCTCCGTAAATGGTAGTTGATGCTATTTTGACTATATTTACTTTGTTGTTTTGTGATAACAACAAAATATGAAGAAAGAGGTCAATTTTAATTCCTATAAAATTAGTTTTAATATTATAGATAACATTTTAATGAATCTGTGTGCTCATTAACAACTATTAGACATTTTGTATGTTATCACCGGTGTGTTATATATAGCCAAATAGAACCAATAGAAATCACTACTTATGTTGCCTGGCAGAGCCCAATGTACATCAAAATTGAAAAATTCTGTGGGTAATGATGAGAGAAAGGTAACTGATGATGTAAGTATTAGGGAAAAATTTTAGAATAATACCAGTGTTGAGACCATTGCAAATTGATAGAGAAGAAAGGGGCTAACACAGATGAGTATATTGGTAGAACTTTTTATTACAATCTATCACATAACTTCTTCCACATTCTTCTCATTGAGAAGTCACTGTTTCCTATTGCTCCTTATGCAGAATAGTTTTAATTGTGTGAATTAATTGACTGATAGAGTTTATATAATTGTATAATATTTTGTTTACTTTTTTTAAGATTTCAATTCTGCAGAGTTTTACCTGGTGACCTCCATATCAGCGAACATACATTTTTAGGGACCATGGACTTAATGCCTTTCCAAGCATGATGTTCCTTCTCAATGACACCCAGTTTCATCCCTCCTCCTTCTTGCTTCTGGGGATCCCAGGACTAGAAACCCTTCACATCTGGATTGGCTTTCCCTTTTGTGCTGTGTACATGATTGCACTCATAGGGAACTTCACTATTCTCTTGGTGATCAAGTCTGAAAACAGCCTTCACCAGCCCATGTTCTACTTCCTGGCCATGTTGGCTACTACTGACTTGGGCCTCTCCACGGCTACCATCCCCAAGATGCTTGGGATCTTCTGGTTTAACCTCAGAGAAATAATCTTTGGTGCCTGCCTCACCCAGATGTTTTTCATTCACAACTTCACTGGCATGGAGTCAGCAGTCCTCTTGGCAATGGCTTATGACCGCTATGTGGCCATCTGCAACCCACTACGTTATAGCACCATCCTTACCAACAAGGTTGTTTCTGTGATTGGTCTTGGTATGTTAGTAAGGGAATTTATTTTTGCCATTCCATTTGTATTCCTCATTTTGCGACTGCCCTTCTGTGGGAATCACTTCATTCCGCACACATACTGTGAACACATGGGCCTTGCTCGTCTGTCTTGTGCGAGTATCAAGGTCAATAGCATCTATGGCTTATGTGCGATTTCAATCCTAGTTTTTGACATCATAGCCATTTCCCTTTCTTATGTTCAGATACTCCATGCTGTTTTCCGTCTTCCCTCTCATGAGGCTCACCTCAAATCCCTCAGCACATGTGGTTCACATGTTTGTGTAATCCTTGCCTTCTACACGCCAGCCCTCTTTTCCTTTCTGACGCATCGGTTTGGCAAAAATGTCCCCCGCTATATCCATATACTCCTGGCCAATCTGTATGTTGTAGTGCCACCAATGCTCAATCCTGTCATATATGGAGTCAGAACCAGGCAGATCTATGACTCTGTGAAGAAAGTACTAGTACAAAAATAGGGAATTGAAAAGCAATAACACCTCATATAGGTGAAACAGACCTTTTTAGAAAAGACACATCTTGTCATATTAAGTATATTTAAATATTTGACAGAAGGGTGTATTTATTTTGACTTCCCTCCTGTATGTATGTTATTCAGTTCAGAAAGTGAAAGGCTAAGACTTTGGTATCAAATTTATATGATAAATAACATCCCATCAGAGTCCTTGTACGTGATTTTCGATGTCAGTAGATTTCAGTAGAATGTCAGTAGGTTCAAAGAAGGACTTTTAAAAAAAAGTTGGTTATGAATATTCATGAGATATGAAGTCGATTGTCCCCCATTGTGCCCTAGACGTGAAGGCCAGATCCATACTGGCAGTATGCCAATTACCACAAATTGCCCAATTATCCTCAATGTCCTTCCCCCTCCCCTTTTCCCCCACTCTACTTTGTATCCCTACGTATGTTCTCTCCCTCTGCAAGTCCAACACACTATTGGAGTCTTTCTTTCCTTCCTTCTTTCTCTCTTAGCTCCAACTTACTAGTGAATACTTGCATAATACCATGCTCTAACCAACTGAGATAACCGGCCAGTCTTAAAGAAGGATTTTAGAAAGTCTGCCATATTTTTTGTGCACTCTTTCCTACATCACTCATATGTTTAACATTTCTCACCCTCTGCACCTGTTCCTCTCTTCTTACTTTGCTTCCCCTTCCTATATCTCCTTCTATTCCTTTTTTGTTTATCTCCAGAAATATCAGTCTTTTTTATTCCATCATAAGGGCTATATTATAATATTCTGTGATTTCATTATACATTATAAACATCCAAAATTGTGCCGTAAATTGAGAACTAATTTTGTAAATGGAAAGAACATGAGAAAATGATTGGAACAACAAAAAGCTTTATTACAAATTTTAGTTTAAGTTTCATCACACATGTATTTAGTTTTTCATGCACCAAACTACGGTTTGGATATATTAAAGGAGCTACTTATGTATCCTAAAGAAGTTGTTTGCTTTATCCTTCGTAGTTCTATTTGCTTTCTAATTTATTTTTAGACTCATTTTGAAGTTATTTATCCCTTCGTCTTGACTTTACTCATATGATTTTAATAATTAAACAAAACTCAAGTTCAGTTCTAGTTCTGTCTTTAATATATCATTCAATGATTTTCCATGATATTATTTTATGAATATGGTCATAGTTTCTATTTAACAGGTTAAGCCTGCAGAGCTTAATGATTTAATGCTTCTAAAGTAATTAGTATAGTGCCATGCATGTTTTTAATAGTAAAAATAAATGAGTTGTTAGCCATTACTAGTATCATTGCTGTTACTTATATTAAATATTTTATTATTTTAGTCTTTTCCTTGACAACATTGATACTATTAGAAAAGTTTATGTGTTTTCATTTTTATATCACTCTCTTAGAATTCTCTGAACTTGTGACCCAAGTAAAGTAAAATTATTGTTAAATATACACATATTTTTATATGTTATATACATATGCGTGTGTGTATGTATACACACACACATATGTAGAGTGCCACATAACAACATTTCAGTTAATGACGAACTGCATATATGACAGTGGTCTCATAATAGTTTAACAAAGCTGAAAAATTTCTGTCACCTAGTGATGTTGTAGCTGTCATAGTGTCTAAGCGCAACACATTACTTACCTGTCTGTAGGGATATTGGCTAGGTGAATTAGCCTAGGTGTGTAATAGGCTATATACCATCTAGGTCTATTTAAGTACACTCTGTAATGTTCACACAACGACAAAATCGCCCAGTGATGGAATTCTCAGAATGTATCACTGTTGTTAAATGATGCATGACTATCTACCAAAACTAGAAAGTAATGCACAACTAATTTGTTGATGTTTTATAAAATTATTGCTTGCCTTGCAGTTCTTATTCCAGGGAAATTTGAAAAATGCTCATTTATTCCCAAGTTCATCACTAATTACATTTGTATATTATACATATTCTTTAAAACAGAAATTTTAAAAACAGAAATTTTAATTTGGAAATAATTACTTACGTAACTTATTCTTCTCTTTCTCCATCTACAAAATGAGGAAAATTATTTGCCCTATATCTCAGCTCATATTCTCTTATTCTTAATCATATGTTTCTTTTCCTAATTTCTGCATTCTCATTTCTTATATTCTATGTGAGGATTCTATCCCTTTATCACCAGCTACCATCTTCATCTATGCCAGCCAATTTTATTTTATAAATACCTCTTAGATATTTTCCTTTCTGTCTCTTCTGCTACTATATTAATACTAATAACTGGCATATGATGTTTTGACATTTGCTATATTTTCCGTGCCAGACATCTCCCCCCACCTCAGTTTACATATTACACTTAACAAACTCCTTACTCCTTATTTTGTAGAGACATGTCTATTCTTTGATAAACTCTTCTACAATCCAAATATACCTAGGGCCAACCCCGTGGCTCACTTGGGAGAGTATGGCGCTGGGAGCACCGAGGCCGCAGGTTCGGATCCTATATGGGGATGGCCGGTGTGCTCACTGGCTGAGCGTGGTGCAGTTGAAACCAAGCCAAGGGTTACAATCCCCTTACCAGTCACAAAAAACAAACAAACAAACAAAACAAATATACCTATCTTACAAGGCATTTCTTAGCTCTCACTTCCCCACTCACTACATACTAGTACCACCCTAGCTTCCTCATGTTTGCATTTCAATTTTTAAAAATTATTTTTTATTATGATGAATATTCATGATATACAAATTACCAGAAATTGCTTTTGTACCCCATGTTCCCACCCAATTGTCCCCTAACCACCCTCCCCCTCCCTTCCTGCTCTACCCCTGAATCTGCTTTGCAGCCCTAGGAATGTTCCCTCCCTCTGTTAGACCACTGCACTACCATGGTCTTTCTTTCCTTCCTTCTTTTCTCTCTTAGCTCCCACATATGCTGGCGAGGGTGTGGAGAGAACGGAACTTTCCTACATTGTTGGTGGGACTATAAATTAGTGCATTTCAATTTTTTGAATCTGTTATGCAAATAAAATTTTATTGAAAAAGAAAAACATTTGTTCACATGGTAGTGAATTTCTATATATCAGCACATTCTGAGGCAACTTTTGTCACACCATTGAAAGCAGAGTTATGTTCATTTTCCTTGTTTTCTGTGCATGTAATCTTAGTCTTCTTTAAGTCACTTGACAGCTGTGCAATTAGTTATTTGTAAGAAACATATATTAAATAAGATGTATTAAAGCAGAAAAACCCATAAAAAAGTAATATATTGATCAGTTGACAGAGATGTTGTGACCAGAGGCTCATAGGAATCTAACCCTGTATTTCCATTAGGAATAATTAATGGTTCCATATTTTCTAATTTAGTCAGTGTTCATGGCAACTCTATAGAATATAACTAGTGGGAATGAGAATTGACTGTGAGATATATCTTTCTAATCCCCCCTCTTCCAAACCTTCCATAACTACCATTTTACTCTCTGTTTCTAGCAGTTTGGCTTTTTTAGGTCCCACATATAAGTGAGATCATGTGGTATTTGTTTTTCAGAGCCTGCATTATTTTACTTAACATAACATCCTATATATATGCTGTTTTCTTTGCTACTTCTTTCCCACATAGGAGAACCCTAGGGCTGAGAGGTTTCTCTTTGCACTGCACTGTGGGTAAGCAAAACTTCTCCTTTTACCTTTTTCAATGTGTCTTTTCTCATTCTGTGCTTCACCAGGGTGCTGTAACTTCTCAATTGGGTTTTGGAGCTCTCAATGAGGTATTTTTGTCCGTGGATAGTTGCTAAATCAGTGACTGAGTGTTTTTGTCGGGGAGGTTTGGGGGTCAGGGACCTTGTATTTTGCCATCTTGCTGACCTAAATCTCACTTTTCTGTCTTCATTTACTGTGAAGCTAGGGTTCCCTAAAGGCTCTTTCTTCCTAAATCAAGGCCAGATTATAATCTAGAATCCTCAGAGAATCTGCAAGTGTTCTTTACTAATGTGTCTCGGGGGATTTTCTCTTGAAATCTCCTCACAGGCAAAGAGCAATGCCCTCATAAAGACTGAGCAGATTGAAACAAAGCTGAGATGAGATTCCATCCTGGTGCTCAGTTTGATGAGTCTTCTGTGTCTCCCAGCTCTCAGGTGCATCTTTAGGACACAGTGATGGGCAAAGAGACAAAGGGATGATAGAAGAGAAGAAAAACAGAAATCCTGGAGGCAGAAAGACTAAGGATGAAGCTTAGAAATGAATAAGAACATGGCTAGGAAGGGACATATAATGCTACTAAAAGATTGGGATTTCAGCCTGAATCCATTTGGTTCTTATTTTAGAAATATCTGTCTATTGATATCTAAAGAATGAAAAACAATATAGTATCTTTGAATATGCTTCAAAGTGTCTTAAAATAAATATGTTTAAAACTAATGATGTTTGGGTTTACATATCTCTATTAGGTATATTTTACACATTAAGAAAAGCTGGTATTGAGACATTAAAGTACATGTACGAAGTTACACGCTAACAGGCGATGCTTATTTACTTTGTTTTTTTACTTCAGATTGAGTAAGTCCTGAAGGTGGGTTTCTACACAATTATTCTGTCTACAGAGTTCATGTTTTTAAGCACTGCAAAATATTGTAGTGTAATCAACTGAAGACATGATAATGGTTTGAAGTAGTCCCATTAGGGTGGAGACAAATGCATTGATTTTAAAGATACTAGAGAAGTAGAATCAACAGTTTTGGTTGTTTAATGTGTGGAGTGGAGAAGAGGACTCTGTTCAGCTTTTGATGTAGCCAGACAACTATTCAAAGTTTTTGTTCTATATATGTCTTTTAGTTATTTCTACTTGGTATTTGTATGATCGCCTGTCTATTTAACCAACTACTCAGACACTGCCCCACTGTAAAATATAATTCTCAGGGGTGAATGTCTCTCTCTGATTTTATTTGCAAACACAGAATATAATACTATTTCTCCCTTTTATGAAAAAACGGATAT